GCTGCAGACCTGGAGGCGTAAGTTGTACATAGCAGCAGCAGCAGCAGCAACAACAACAACAACAGCAGCACGTTTGCAGAAGCTTCAGAGAGCCGCATACAGCTAGCTAGTGCCGCTGCTGCTGCTGCTGCTGCTGCTGCTGCTGCTTCTGCTTCTTCATGTGCATCAGGATCGCCGCATCAATGGAAGAGCAGCAGCAGCGAGTGAAGGAAGCAGATTTAGCTGTTGCTGCTGCTGCTGCATCTGCGAGTGGAGCGAGGCAGCAGCAGCTGCGGCAGCAGCAGCAGCAGGTGACTGCCGCACTGCAGCAGGAACAGCAGCAGCAAGAGCATCTGAATGCTGCATTTGAAAAGGGGCAGCAGCTGCTGCAGCAGGTGCGAGACAGCATAGAGATGAAGCGGCAGCAGCAGCAGCTAGAGAAGCAGCAGCAAACAGTACGTGCTCTGCAAGAAGCCCTGCAGCAGCTGATGCAGCAGGGGCTGGCCTCCCTGGGGCAGCAAAGCAGCCTTGCTGCAGCAGCAATACAGCAGCAGCAGCAGCAGCAGCAGCAGGGCTTAACAGCAGCAGCAGTGGAGTATGTTGTAGAGACCCTGAGGAGGGCTGCTGCTGAGCGGGGACAGCGTTTAGCAGAGCTGAGAGGTGCAGCAGCAGCAAAAGAAGAAAGGAAGCAGCAGCTGCAGCAGGAAATCAACACCCCAACGTACAGACAAATCGATGAAAGATATGTGCAAGGTTCGACTGCTGCTGCTGTTGCTTCTGCTGCTGCTGCTGCTGCTGCTGTTGCTTCTGCTGCTGCTTCCGCTGCTGCTGCTTCTGCTGCTGCTGCTGAATTTTTTCTAGTCTTTCTTTTTGTATTGCTACAAATAAACAAACAAGCAGGCAAACAAACAAGCAGAAGGCAAACAAAGAAGCCAAAAAGCAAATAAATAAATAAATCGATAAACAAACAAATCAACAAAATTTTAAACACATAATTTGCATGCATCAGTTGGTGGTGGTGTTGTCTTTAATTATTTTACATAAATAAATAAAATATGTTTTAAATAAATAAATATAATGTATTTAATTAATTATTAAATAAATTATATTTTTAATGTGCTGCAGCGCTGGTAGACTGCGAGGCTGAGCGTTTGGCGGTGGAGGACATCGAAAAATATCACAAAGCCCTCGACAGAGCGCTGATGAATTATCATGCAGCCAAAGTAAGACTATGAAGCTAGCTGCAGCTAGCTACAGCTAGCTACAGCTAGCTGTTGTATTGCTGTTGATAGCTGCAGCTAGCTGTTTTATTGCTGTTGATAGCTGCAGCTAGCTGTTTTATTGCTGTTGATAGCTGCAGTTAGCTGTTTTATTGCTGTTGATAGCTGCAGCTAGCTGCAGCTAGCTGCAGCTAGCTGTTTATACCTATGGCTAGATGTGGCTAGCTGTTTATAGCTGCGGCTAGCTATGTATAGCTGAGGCTAGCTATGTATAGTTGCAGCTAGCTGTAGCTAGCTGCAGCTAGCTGCGTCTGGTTTGTTGAGTGTTGCTGATATTAATGTATGTCTGTTTAATCAAAAAAATATATTTTGCTGCATTTCTTCTGCCGCTGCTTACATCGCGTAATGCACGAAGATATATTAAATTAATATAAATGTTTAAAACATCTGTATATATATATATAAACATATATATACATCTATATATATATATATATATATTAAAATATATATATTTAATTATCTTTGTTATACTAAAATAAAATAACCGATAAAATTAAACAACGCTGTTTTGTTCAAGTGAAATAAAATAATAATAAAATAAACTAAACTAATATAAAATAGATTAAATAAATAAATAAATAAATTAAATAAGTAAGCAAATAGATTAATTAATTAATTAATTAAATAAATAAATAAATAAATAAATAAATATGTTTGTTGCAGATGGAGGCGATAAACAGCGCACTTCGCGAATTTTGGCAGACTCTTTACTCAGGCACTGACATCGATGCTATTGCAAGTAAATCTTTTATTTATTTATTATTTATTTGTTTATTTATTTGTTTATTTGTTTATTTATTTGTTTGTTTGTTTGTTTGTTTGTTTATTCATTTTGTTTGTTTGTTTGTTTGTTTGTCTGTTTGTTTGTTTTGTTTGTCTGCTTTATTTTGTTTATTTATTCATTTTATTTATTTATTTATTTATTTATTTGATTGTTTGTTTTTGTCTGTCTATTTTAATTGTTTGTTGTGTGTGAGTATAAGCTGATCGTAAGATAATATAAAACAACAGTTTGCATTATATAGAGTGCGTTTATTTTATCAGTTTGAGCTGTATAAATTATTATTTTAATTTGTTTTTTTGTCTGTCTTCTTAGTTCGTTCATCTGTAGCAGAAAACGAAGAATGTGCTTCGCAATTAGCGGTCTCAGCTGGCGAAAGGTCTTATAATTATCGCGTAGTGATGAAGACAGCGACAGGAAAAGAATTAGATATGAGGGGACGATGCTCTGCAGGTTTGTTTGATTATTTGTTTGTTTGTTTAATTATTTTCTTCTCTCTCTTTCTATCCATCTTTATTTAACTCTTTTTCTTTCTCTCTCTCTGTTTATCTCTTTGTTTCGCTCTTTGTTTTTCTGTCTATCTTTATCACTGCCTCTATTTATCCTTTTCTGTCTCTCTCTCTTTATATATATATATATATATATATATATACATATATATAATGTATATATACACATCTGTATATATATACATATATACATATATAGATTTATATATTTTTTAATTTCTACTTAAATATATATATATATATTTATATTTATATTTATTTATATTTAAATATATATTTGTTTACAGGACAGAAGGTGCTTGCTTCCCTCGCTATTCGTCTCGCCTTGGCCGAAATTTTTTCTGCCTCGAGTCAAATTTTGGCTTTGGATGAACCCACTACAAACCTCGACACATACAACTGCGAAGTCTGTTTGTTTATTTGTTTTTGTTTGTTTATTTAGTTTGTTTGTTTGTTTTGTTAGTTAGTTAGTTTGTTTATTTATTTATTTAGTTGGTTATTTTGTTTGTTTGTTTAGCTAGTTAGTTAGTTAGTTTCTTTGTTTATTTATTTAGTTTGTTTGTTTGTTTAGCTAGTTAGTTAGTTAGTTTCTTTGTTTATTTATTTAGTTTGTTTGTTTGTTTGTTTGTTTAGTTTGTTTGTTTATTTATTTGTTTATTTAGTTTGTTTGTTTGTTTAGTTAGTTTGTTTGTTATTTAGGTATTTAATTAATTAATTAATTAATTAGGTTGTTACTTAATTAAATCGTATTGTTGTTATGTTGTTATATTATTGTATAATTATCTCATTACGCTATATTATTATATCATTACATTATTATTAAATAACTATATATTATTATATTATGATTATATTATTATATTATTATGTTATCATTTTAATATATTATTATATTATTAATATAATGCAGTAAAAGGATGATGCTGCAGCCATCGACTTAAACCCACTCTTCTAATAAACATATATATATATACATTAATATTTATATCTCTACTTATATTTATTTATTTATTTATTTATTTATTTATTTATTAATAAAGAATAGTTTGATTACTTTGTTTGTTCTTTGTGCAGAGTTTAGCTGCAGCCTTGGCGCGTCTGGTGAAGTCTCGACAGGGCAGTCATTCTTTTCAGCTTTTGTTGATAACGCATGACGAATCTTTTGTTTATAAATTAGGAAGAGAAGGTCTTTGTGATACATATTTAAAAGTTTGTAAAGATATCAACGGCCGCAGCAAACTCTCCTCCGCTGCCTTACATGTCTAAAATATATATTATTTAGTTGGTTTGTTTTTTGTTTGTTTCAGAGACAGATATATATATATATATATATATATACATATATATATTATATAATATATATATATCTCTTTCTATCTCTCTCTCTGTCTATATATATATATACATATATATATATATATGTATATATATTTATATATAAAGAGAGACAGATAGATAGATCTGTCTGTCTGTCTGTCTCTCCCTGTCTCTCTCGGTTGCTCTCTTCGTATCTCTATTTGTTTCTGTCTTTGTTTGTTTGTTTGTTTGTTTGTTTGTTTGTTTGTTTGTTTGTTTGTTTGTTTACAAGGTTTTATTAAGATGCTGCAGTTATGCAGTTTGCTGTCTTTCATTTTCAAACATACTTTTCTTTTTTTTCAATCTTTAAAAAAAAAATATTTTTATTATTTTATCGCTGATACACCGTTTATTTGCATGCAATTTATATATTTAATCTTTTTGCTACGTCTCTCAACTTTATTAGGCGCCTTTTATGCTGTCGGCTGTCTGCAGCGTATTGAATTAAATGAATTAATTAATTTTAATTTACTCAATAAGTTGATTGTATTAATTGGTTTAAGTATATTGTTTAGGGATATCGCATACAAATATATTTAGTTAAATATGTTTAATTAATTAAAAGAGAAAGAAGCTGCACGCCCTACCATTAGGAGGAGAAGCACTTAAAAATAATTATTATTTACTATAAATAAACGTCTATAAACATATTATGATATAATTAAAAATATTTAATTAATACAAATACTCTCAAACAATTCTTATGCTTATACTATGATGAGGGCCCAAGGGAGGACGGCATGTGTATGAGAGAAAAGGAGAAGAGCGCCGTTATTTATTGTCTTCGAGAAGTAAATATTGTATAAATATTAAAATTAATTTAAAATTAATTAAATTTAATTCTTTTTACTGTATTTAATGCCCTAGAAATCATTATATATATCTCATGCATGCTGCAGAGACTGTGGGGGCGCAGCGTATACGGGCGTAAGGCGCTCTAAACAGCATTCTAAAGGAAATTCAGCTTCTTGTGTGCTCTATTTAAAAGAAATAAAATGTTAATTTAAATATATTTAAGAAGATTTAATTTTATATCTTGATTTTTAACTAAACAACGACAACAACACCCACATTTCTGCAAGAATGCAGCCACACCGCAGGGGTCGAGTGTGTTCACCGTTGGTTTAGAAGCGATTGGCTGTGTAAAAGTTGCGATTAAGTAGGAAAAAAGAGTAAATAAAGAATAAAAAACATTATTTTGTTTATTTAATTAATATTACACTTTTAAACGCGAAAAATGGCTGCTAATTTCTCCACGTAGGACTCAGAGCACAGCTTTTGTCGTCGTACAATTTTTGTGAAAACAAGAGAATATGAATATATATTTTTTTGGATTTAAATACCTCACTGAATATTAAAACATTATCTGCAAAGAAAAATATATTTTTTACATTATTTTCATGCATTATTCTTGAATAATTTGTTTGTCTCGGGGCGGTGTAGAAGCTGCTTGTTTGTATATATATGCATTTGCAGCAGCGGCCCCCAACCACGCATGTCTGTTGGATACAGAGTGGGGGTCGGGTTGTTGAATTCGCAGATATTTCACGAATAAAATTAGAGAAAAACTCTATTTCTGTATTTTACTTTCTTTTATTGTGTATTTTGAAGGCCCTTTACTTCATGTATTGGTCTATACGCCTCGGGCGGTGCATCAAAGCAGAGAGAAAGCTCGTCAGACATTTAAAGTTTCCGTTCTCAATAATGCATCTAAACCGTTTATATTTCAACGTCTTTACTCATTTGGCGATGAAAAAATCGTCATTTCTTCGATTTCTCTGCAGCATTCGCTCTATTTGATTTGCATTACCTACAGGGAAGGAAGCCCAGAGGCAGGTTAAACGTAGGTGGATGCATCTCTTGGATTGTTGTTTTTTTTTCGAGATATTGTTGAATATCTCTTTTCAATTTCTTTTTATTTAAAGAATTTGATTTCTAACAGACGCCGAAGTGTTGGCGATCAGAGAATAACAGCAACCGCAGGTGCGGGTGCTGTTCTCTGTCTGAAGCCTTCTTTCTTTGCAAGACTAAGGAAGACATATTAGTTGTTATAATTATATATTCTGCATATATATAATTATCAAAGAATAGCGGAGCTGAGATATTCTTCTTTTTTACGGTTTTCACTGTAGTAACAGTGAGAACATGTCTTATCACGGCGCCGCTTTGAAGGGTCAGCGGATTACATGTAATCTATGAATTGTTTTCTGTACAAGTGCGAGCTGTACAGATAATCTGGCTATTGAAGTATATTGATTATCTGCATTATAATGGTGTATTTATCACAACTATGGCACTCGCGCTTAAGAGGAGGGGGCGGAGACCCTCCTTCTCAGTCAGCAGATGCTGCTGCTGTCTATACACTTGAGGGCTCTAAACAGAAGCCCCCTAATGGTGTAGGAATGCTAGTAAAGTTTGCTGGTAGAGTTATTCTCTATGGATTGATGCTGGGTGTTAATCAACGCAACAGAAGTCTGCAGCAAACGGACGGGCTTAGTCCTCATACAGATGCAACAGCAACAACAGCAGCAGCAGCAGCAGCAACAGCAGCAGCTTCTCCTTTCTTAGGTTCAGAAGCAGTATGGCGTTCCTTTGAGCAGATGCATGAGGCTGCTTCTGTTGATTCTTCATCAGAATCAGGAGGAGAGTCAGCAACAGAAGTAGCAGCAGCAACGGAAGTAGCAGCAGCAGCAGAAGCAGCAGCGGAAGCAGAAGCAGCAGCAGCAGCAGAAGCAGCAGCAGAAGCAGCAGCAGCAGCAGAAGCAGTAAGCGATGCCTATAATGAGTGGCGATTACCCGGGGTTGATGCTGCTGATGCAGCACTGCCAGCAGCCCTGCGCCGAGGCAAGGAATTCTTAGCGCTTAAGCTATCATCTTCTGCTGCAGCAGCAGCAGGAGGATCAACAGGAGCAGCAGGAGCAGCAGCGGCTTCTTCTTCTTCACCTTCTCGCAGCACAACACGTCAAGGTCTACGTGCACTGGCTGCTGCTGTCTCTCGAGGATCTACAGATGAGTTTGTAGGGCTTGATATTTCTTTAACTCATATATCTCCTTTTGAAGCAGAAGAAGCAAGTCTTACAGCGTCAAGAGCCTTCAGAATAACATCCTTTCTTGGCGATGGGGCAGCAAATGCTGTACTAGAGATTACAGACAAGACAACAAAAGAAAAGCTAGCAATGCGAATATTGTATACACCTTACTCTGTACAGTCTGAGATTGAGAGGCTTACAGCATTTGGAAGTGCTGCTATGCAGATGGAGGAGAAGCTGATGCTGCATGCATGCGGTGGTTTAGCAGCAGCAGCAGCAGCAGCAGAGAAAGGGATAGCTATACCTTTATTTACAGCAGAGATTGAAGGGCTTCCTGATGTTGTGGTGTCTGGTGAGGTGTTTGTATTTAAAAGAGTTCAGGTTATGCAGCGCATGCAAGGAGATGTCGCAAATCTACTTCTTGATAGTCATCCTGTACCGATAGAAGCAAAAGAATATATAGCAACACGTCTGCTGTTGCAGGTTCTACACCTGCATTCAGCAGGTGTATGTCACAATGACTTGAAACTAGAAAACTGTTTTCTAAGAGAAGACGGCAGCTTCTTAGTAGGAGATTTTGGGTCTAGCACTCTTGTAGGGATGCCTCTGAACGGTCAAATAACTGATATTACTCCGGTGTATGGTGAGCCTCGTTTAATGCTTGATATTCATCGTGCATTATCTAATAAATGCCCTGCTATGCCTCATCAAAAGAGCGACCTGTGGAGCTTAGGTGTAGCTATATATGAGTTGTTTATGGATGGCGATCTCCCTTTCGGCCTAGAAGAATTTGCAGATAATGCTGTAAATATCAGCGCTCAAGCAGAAGCTATTCTTAATATTCAGGAAGCAGCTGCGATTCTTCAGGAAGAATTACAAAAGGCACATATACCTGCACGGTGGCGTGAGCTATTATGCAGATTGCTTGAACCAAAGAGAGCACGAAGAATTGATTCTAGAGAAATAGCTGTTGAATTTCGAGATCTTTATGCTGCCCAATCATAGATACAGTGCATGCAATATCAATAGCAGCAGCAGTAGCAGCAGATGCTGCTGCTGCTCCTCCTGAAGCTGCACCTTATCGTGCTCCTGATTGTGCTGCACTCGCAGCCACGCATGCATGCAAAGAAAAAGCAGAGTGTGGCCGTGATCGCTGCAGCAACAGCTGCACAAAGAAAACGAAGAAAATGCAGCTGTAAACAGCAGCTGTATGTACACCACAGTGAAGAAACAATCAGTGAGGGTTGTTGAGGTTTTAATATATTATATTATGTTTGTATTCGTGCTTTCGTGGAGGAGATGTCTTTTAATATTGTACAATATTAAAAGAGCGATTTCAATTATCTTTTATTTTCTTTTTTCTGCTGTATGTACAGCTGGCTTGGAGCCGACGGCGCCCGCTGCACAGCAGTATAAATTATTTGTTTGTCTCGGCTTTCTGTGATTTTTTAAGCAGAAGTGCGGAAGACGAACAGCAGTTCTTGTGTGCATGCACGCATGCATGCATGCATGCATGCATGCGTGCATGCGTGCGTGCATGCATTGATGCATGCATGCATGCATGCATGCATTGTGAATGCAGCGGAGTGTGTTTTAGGTTGTGACCCCCGTAAGCTGTATATACATTTCTTGTGTATTATTTATGCATGGAGTTCTATGCTTGTTTGCTTCCGCTAGAGCGGCGGCAGCAGTTTGTTTGTTTGTTTGTTTTTGCCTCTGTTTATTGTTGTTCTTTGCTCGTCTTTACAGGGCTTGCTTCGAACATCTTCAACGCGAGTTAAGTGCTTTTGTATTTTTTCTCTACCCATTCATCAGCTCTTCAGGCCGGCCGCGGAAAGAGATGCTCTGCATGCATTATTGCATGCATGCATGCATGCATGCAATAATGCATGCAGAGCATCTCCATGCATGCACGCTTGCATGCATGCAAGGATGCATGGATGGATGGATGGATGCATATGTCGTTGCTGATGAGTTTATGATGACAATGATGTTGTTTTTGAGGCATTTGTCTGTCTTTCTTAATTATATCTCTGCTTTATCTCTTCTTCAATGAGGTGTTTATATGCATTTGTTTCGGGCGTACAGACAGCGAGAAAGTCGCGAAAAAATAAATTGCCCTGAAGACAGACCTGCAGATTTTGGGTCTCTCTTCTTTTAATCTCATTGTATTAGAAATTGAATACAATAGTAATACAGCATCAATACTTTTTGCATGCAATGACATCATTATTATTGTTTTTCTTTTTTCTTCTTCATTCATATACTTTTACTTAACATTTATTTATTTATTTATTTATTTATTTATTTTCTTCATATTTACATTTGTTCAACTTACACACACAAGCATTTCTCTCTTCTTCAGGTGTATATACATACAGCGTCTTTCTTTATACTATTTTACAATTAAAGACTCTGCACGTTTGGTCTTATCACAGATGCATTTCTTTAGGTAATAACAAAGATAAGCTCTCCTCTCTGTCTACAGATGTATATATATACTATACGAATCAAGCAGGAGGGAAGTATAGAACTGAGGGTTTAGGGTTTAGGGTTTAGGGTTTAGCTAAGCTCTATGTGTACAGCCACGCAGGAGAGGGCAGCACGCACACGCAGATTTCTTCTACGAGTTCTAAACCCTCAATTGATTAAAGGAAAGAAGACTGAGGGTTTAGGGTTTAGGGTTTAGGGTTTAGGGTTTAAAGGGGAAAGGGTTTTCTTCCCCCCTAAACCCTAATCTTCTCGTCCCTTAGAAACTGCGCTGTGGATGTCTGTATTCAGCGAGCATATGAATTAAATAGATATAATAATAATAATAATTATAATAATATAACTAACATCTCAGCTGAAGCATTTAATTCTAAACAGCAGCATCTTTATCTACTTGTTAACAATAATAATAGTCAGAAGAATAGTCGAAAGAAAGATAATAAAGAAAATAATAATAATAATAATAAATAGCATAATAACGCATAATAATATATATTTATAAATAATAAACAACTACAGATTTTAAGTTGTCGCCTTCCCCTAAATATATATATATGTATATAGGGATTCATGATAATAATGAAAGAAATAAATATTATTTTATTATGATTTATAAAGGAGAAGAATAAATTATAGTGGCGATTGCAGCGAAAAAACAAACAAATCCACGAAAACAGCAGCAGCTGCCTCGGCTGCTTGGTGCTGCAGTAGAGGGGTAAGTTGACATCATTCGTAAGAAATAAAAAGAGAAATAAAAGAAAAATGAATAAAAATAAATAAATAAAAGAAAAATAATATATTTATTAGGTTAAATATAAATATTTGCTGCAATCTCGAACAATAATAGATGTGTTTATCTCCCCGTCGATGGTGTTGTTAGCCCAGAGGTTCTCGAACAAGTCTGTAGAAGAAAAGGAGTAAATTTCGGGGTAAATAAAAACTTTTTTGAATATTAAATAATTTATTATTAATTTATTTATTTATATATTTAAAAAAATACTTATTTATAGGCACTTTGACGGGGAGATGAGTACGGGTTGGCTTTGAACAGCTCAATGGGTAGCGCCTAAAGCTAGCGCTCCAGTGGGTGTTTATTTTTCTTGTGTTTATATCTTCAATTTTCCCTCTTTTCTTTTTAATTTTCCTTTATTTTATTGTTAATTACTTCATTTTCGCTTATTTTCTCTTTACTTTATGAATAAAAACTCGGCAACCCGCAGCTTCGAACCCACCACCGCATCGAAACCTGCAAAATTCTGAACTGAGATCTTAGCGATTTTCTTCCTTCTTCCTCAGCCTTAAGGTATGTTTAATGAATATTAAATATATTTTAATATTATTTTCAATGTTTTCCCCGCATTTATTCGATAAAAATGAACCGACACTGCTGCCGACGTCTAACGAGCAGAAACATCAATGTTTATGCTGTGAAACCTTAAGAAAAAATTTTCTTTGTTCTTCTTCTTCCTTTAAACCACTTCTTAAATATATAATATTTATTTATTTATTTATTTATTTATCTATTTATTTATTTAAAATAACTATTTTTAAATATTTTCTTTGAATAATTGTTTTACGTGTTCGTTTACTTGGGTTATTATTGTTGGTTTGTTTGATGTTCCTCAGCAGCATTTTTTCTCTGTTTTTTCTGTTTTTCTTTTGTTTTATTTTGTTTTTTAGCTTATTTCTTCTTTATTTACCTCCCCAATGGCGAGTCTATACGATATTATATACCTTGAATTAACAAACCAAGCAGCTAAAAGATATGCTAGCTGCAGAGAAGATGCTATTGTTAAGGAAGGAGACCCATACGTACACCCGCCGGTGCTGCATTTTTCAACTTCCTTCAGTATTCTACCAGGTAAGTAATTAATAATAATAATAATAATAATAATAAATAATAATAAATAATAATAAATAATAATAATAATGTAATAGTTATTATTAGGAGTAGTAGTCGTGTTGTTGATTATAATTAATATTAAATAATAATAGCAGAACTACGAGAAATAATTAATTCCTGTTGATTCATAACAAATAAAAATAATAATAATAATACTAATAATAATAATTCATATGCTTATTATCTCATTGTTAAAAACAATTATTAAGATATAAGCATATCTTTAATAATTCAAAATTTGTTTATTTATTTAATTCTGTTTTACCTCAATAAAATTAAAGCTGCCCTAAGAAGCCAAATCAGCAGAAAATTATAAAGATATAAAGAGAAAGAAAGTTTTTAATTAATCAGAATAAGCGAGCCAACACCTTTGGGGCTTTGAACATATTGCATGCAATGCATGCTTTGGAGATTTGAACGTACTGCATGCGTTGCATGCGTTGCATGCTTTGGGGCTTTGAGCATACTGCATGCGTCGCATGCGTTGCATGCAATGCATGCATTGCATGCGTTGCATGCATTGCATGCATTGCATGCTTTGGGGCTTTGAACATACTGCGTGCGTTGCATGCGTTGCATGCGTTGCAGGTTCTATTGAGAGTCTGAAGATAGATGGTTTAAATAATAGAAGACATAGATTTTCTTCTATTGATTCTGCTGCTGCTGATCTGCTGTCTCGCTGCACGGGGTTAAGAGACCTCTCTCTGGTGTACGTACAGCTGAATTCGTTCACTGGCCTCCCGAGGTTTCCCCTGCTAAAGTCTCTGCAAATGCAAGGCAATCAAATTGACAGCTTCAAAGGTTTGCTGCACCAACCCTCTCTACAGGTCAGCAGCAGCAGCAGCTGCAACAGCAGCAATAGCAACAAGAGCAACAAGAGCAGCAACAAGAGCAGCAACAGCAACAATAGCAGCAACAGCAGCATATACTTGCAGCCATCCATGCATACACATACAAATATACATACATATATATATATCTACATATAGATATACAGACAGATAAATATTTATTTATTTATTTATTTATTTATTTATTTATTTATTTATTTATTTATTTATTTATTTGCTTTTGTGTCAGGAATTGAACATGTGGGGCAATTTGCTGCGGGGTTTTAAAAATTTTCCTGCTCTACCAAATCTACGAGAACTGAATTTGAGCTGCAACAGAATAGAAAGACAGTTTGAACGACTTGTTGCTAGAGCTCCCAGGCTATCAGTGCTGCGCCTATCATTAAACCCGATTGAAGAAGAAAAAGAATTAATGCATTTGGTTCGTCGTTTAAATAATTTTTATTTTCTTCTCGCCTTCGTCTTCGCTGATATTTTACTATTGACGTTCTCGCAATATTCTTCACGATTTGTCTGTGTCTTTGTCTTTGTCTCTGTCTCTGTCTCTGTCTTTGTCCCTTTCTTTGTCTCTGTCTTTGTCTTTTTCTGTCTTTCTTCATATATATATAATATATTATATATATTATATGCATTCCTGTTTGTCTCTCTCTCTCTCTCTCTCTCTCTCCCTCTCTCTCTCTCTCCTATATTACACTATATTATAGTATATTACATTATATATATAAATATATTAATATGAATATTAGTATATTTATATTATTAATTTGTATGTGCAGGAAGGGCTTGCTGATTTGCGTTTGCTGGAGATATACGGCTGTCCTGTGGTTGAGCGTTTGCTGCACTCGACCTCAAATTTTTTACAAAGAATGAAGGCCAAAGGAGTTGTTGTTATATTGCAGCAAAGTAGAATACCATTAGAAATGCTGCTGCAGCTGCAGCAAATGCAGGAGGAACACTACCAGCAGCAGCAGCAGCAGCAACAACAACAACAACAGCAGCAGCAGCAGCAACAGAAGAAGCTGCAGCAGCAGCACATGCTGCTGCCCTATAGTACTCCGCCTGTAGCCATTACCGTTACTCCAGCAAATGAATAAAAGCTCTAACTCAAACTGCTGCTGCTGCTGCAGCTGAAGCAGCAGCAGCATGCAAATGCATGTAGACGCTGCTGCACCTTCGGCTGCAACAGCAGCAACAGCAGCAGCAACAGCAGCAGCAGGCTCTGCTTTGCTGCTACCTTTTTTTCTGTTCACCGCTTCGGTATTTTTTCAGTTGAGATTACAACACCAATTTAAAACATTCTGGTAGACCCTAAACCCTAAACCCTAAACCCTAAACCCTAAGCATCATTTGATATGCTTGGCTGCATTAAAAGGGATTTAAAAAGAAAAAAAGAGTTAATTTAAATGCATGCTGTACTAACCCTGGAGATGTTTGTTGATAAACAGTTTGCTTCAAGTAGCCTATTAGCAAAAAGTAGAAAGAGAGATTAATTAATAATTAATTAATTAATTAATGTTTATTTCTGCTTGAATGCATCAGCAGATTAACAGTAAAAAAATATTTTATTGAGGCGTTTCTGCTCTTTTCTAGCTGTTGTCTGCTGCACTCAGCCGTCAGCATAATTAATAATAACACAAATTTATGCACTTAACACGAATAATTAACACAAGTTTATTTTGTAGCAAACGCATCTAAGTAGCACCCGTAGAATCCTATATATTACTCATTTACATCGATATATATTAATATTATTTACGTATATATACATATATAACGTTTATATACATATTATGTATGCTATATATAATGTAACACATGCATATATATATATATATATAATATATATATATGAAGAGGGCTTCTGCGCCTGCTAAGCGAGCGATAGTGTAGAGGGCCTCTACGAATACACACCTATGAAATATCTGCATTAAAATTTATGTTTTTCTTTTTAATTTGTTTTAGTATATAATTAAAAAAGAAAATAAAGAAAAAAGAATTCAATTATTAAACAAAAGATTACCGCTAGGGGCTGTGGGGCTGCTGAGCCCTATAACTCGGGTGTATGCACGCATCATCGAAGTATATAGAGAATGAGCAGAGTAAATAGTATATTTAAGGGGTTTAAAAGATAAATAATTAATTAATTAATGCAAGATTTAAAGCATTATATACCATAAGAAACATTTATAATGATTAATATACTTGAGGTGTATATACACCCCAAGTTTTGTGTGTGACTGGCTGCCGTCGTCACCGGCGTTGAAGCTGCATTAATGTTCTTCTCTAGCAATTTATATTTAACAAATAAAGTTTTAAATTAATATTAATTTTATATAATATTCTTCTTAGATTATGAAGAAATAAACTTCTTTACCTTCGTTTCACCCCTGCCCTCAGCAGCTTTCTCTGAATAGCAGCTGTCTGAGTAGAGATGCATTTCTGGGGCCCATATTGGAAATTCAATGTGTTTATCTCTTATTATTTGTTGTTTTTATTTATAAATGAACATTTATTTCACTTTAATTCAACAAATAAAAGCTAAAAACACAAAGAAGAGCGAGCCGCTCCCACCTACAGAAAGAAGTAACAACCACGGCTTACAAGAATACAGGCCCCAAGCCTGTTGTTAATATATCATAGAGATGCAGCAACTTTCTCAGGAAGATCAGGACTCTAGCGATGAGCAGCAACAGCAGCAGCAGCAGCAGCAAGATGAGAACCCGCATCCAGAAGAGCAGCAGCAACAGCAGCAGGAGCAAGGACAGCAACAGGAGGAGGTGCAGCAGCAACAGGAGCAGCAGGAGGAAGAGGAGCGCATGCCGGGCTCTCGCTTCAGTCGTGAATGGGGTGAAGTATATTTGCTTTCAGATGCACAGGGTGTAAGCAGGACCAGTGGTCAATCAGCAACAGACACAGACAGCGCTTCAGGAGCAGACAGCAGCGGCTTTGATCCGTCTCCATCTCCAACTCGTAGAAATAATCTGCACCGCCTTCTTTCTTCTTCTTCCAGGTGTATATACACTTACAACAACGCAGCAGCAATAAACCCAGCAGCAGCAGCAGCTTCAAACCCAAATGCTGGTCCTATATGTAGCAATTCAGCAGCAGCAGCAGCAACAACAGCAGCAGCAGTAGGTGCAGCAGCAGCAACAGCAGGTGCAGCAACTGCAGCAGGAGGAGGAGCAGCAGGAGGAGCAGCAGCGCGTGCAGCAGCAAAGGCTGCAGCAGCAGCAGCAGCAGCAGCAGGCACCCCTTGCTTAGCACCTCGACGCCTAAGACTTAAAGCCCCTCCTCGTGTTGTTTGGGTTAGCGGGAGATTCATCAGAGAATTAGCGAGCAACGATCAACGCGCTGGGCAGCTGGTCAGACACAAATAGACCAGTGGTCCACTCATCAATGCATGCATCTATATTATATATAATATATTTATATATATATTATGTATATATATTATCTATATTGTATATATATATATATATATATATTTTATGTTTGCATATTGTGTACATCTACA